AGAAATTAAGCATAACAGTTTTAGATTGTCCACAAAATATTTGTCTTCATTTTAAACTACATCACTTTACTCCTAACAAACGTCTTTTAATTAAATGTTTAGCTTGAAATTTGATCAAATCTATAAAACATTTCTTCTTTATCTTTAAGAATGAGTTTTACCCTCAAAAATCAAAGAATTATATTTTGCATTAAAAAATTAAACATAAAAATGATAAATGGTCATAAAAACAGGCTCAAATATTTTGTTTTCATAATTTTTTGGCTGGAAATTTAAAAATTGACATTTGAACAAAACCCCCATTTCCTTTGTAATATAATGACATTCTTTTCATCCAATTTTTTGCTTGAAAATTGAAAACAAAAACACTTGCTTAATGTCATTCAGACCATCCATTTTTTTAAAGTAACTTTTTGCTTTAAAGAAATTAAGCATAAAGATTTTAGATGATCCTCAATATTATTATTCGTCGCTTTTTTAAACAATATTGAAATTTTGAAATTTAAAATAAATCACATGCTCCCGCATGTAATTCATTTTTAAGAGTGACTTTAGTGTCAAAACCTTGTAATGTGAGAGACGAGTATGAAAACGTTCAGTCTTTGAAATCTCCCTAAACATGCAGGAAATCTTTGCATGTGACGTCTCATGGAGCGTGAACGCTTCTAAATCAGATGTGTGTGGATTAGAGGAGCGTCTCTGAGCTCCACGGAGCCTGTCAGGTTGAGAAGGCCGAGCACAAAGCGTGTGATTTCAATATGAATGGAGCGGTGGAGGGAAGGACACGGCTCTCGCAGTGGGGTGACTTCCCTTCTGAGCAGCGTTCTCCATCACAAACACACGCGTGCTAAAAACACAGCGCAACTTCTGCATGCTGACAAGCAAAACACTTTCCTTTCATATCTGCACTTCATGAGCATGTCAAAGAGAAGATCACTGCAGAGATGAAATATTAGGGGACCTATTATACCCCTTCTCAAAGTCTTGATTTTGTTTTTGGGGTCTACTAGAATAGGTTAAAAAAAACATTTTTCACATATTCTCCATTATCGCAGCTCCTCTTTTCCCACTCTATCAGTAACGCTCTGTTTCTGTCCTCTCTTTCAAGCACAATGGCCCTCATTTATCAAAAGTGCATACACCAAATTTCCAGCCTACACCCAAAACCACGGTGACTTTGAGATTTATCAATATGGACGTTGGCGTACGGCACGCTCGAATCCTACGCCAGCTCAGGAGGTGGTGTACGCACGTTTTGAGTAAGTGCGGAAATGCGTAGAAGGACAATTCCTAACACCACAAAAAGCACTGACAAACTAAAAGATGTGATATATTATGACCCGCAGTAAAAAAAACAACATCATAGTAGTTATAAACCTCAGTGTTTATTTTTGTGCAACCTGGACTTCAATGTTTAATTAGTGTGACTTTACCAAAGCATTTGATTTGTAAGCATATGTATTCCTTCAGTTGCGAGCCTGTGACGGATATTGTGACGTGTTCGTTCCCGTAAGAAAATAACAGATTTTGTAGCTAGGAAGGATCATGAAACCAGTCTAATTTTAGACTAAAAGACATTGCAAATAAATTGTGATTATCCAATATGTACACAGTGGAATGCTTTCCACTAAAGACTACTATTTTCCTATTTTCCGTTGGGGTACACAATATATAAGTATATGGCTGATATATATATGCGATTGACAAAATATGTGTGTGTTATTTCCACGTCTAGTGCATCAAGGTCTCTTTTACTGTAATTCAAGCCATTCTGTGAGCTGCACGTGTCTAAATCAACACTCTGAAACCAGCAGCGCATTTATTTATTTGCTGGCAACCAGTCAAAATAAAAGCTTGATGGAACAAATTTTACAGTAATTTTACGGTAACACTTTATTTGAAGGGGTGTGCATAAGACTGACATGACACTGTCATAAACATGACATAACACCTGTCATGAACATGAAGGAGTCTTTATGAATGTTTATGACTTTTGTCATTAAGTGTCATTCGGTAAATTATGACACTTTTAATGCAAAGTTGACATTGTTTAAAATGTCTTTGTTATGACAACTTGACATTAACCAAGAAATCATAACTAGTTCCACTAAAGTTTTCCACTTCACTTGAGGTAAGGGAAAATATTAATGACACTGTTGTTAAAGCATTTGACAGTGTAATAACCCTTAATGACATCTTTATAACTAGTACAATGTGTTCCACTTTACTTGAGGACAAGTAAAATATTCATGACACAGTTATAATGGTGTCATTACGGCCAAAATCACAACCAACCACATATGACAGGGTAATGTAATGTTAACACAAAGCTAAATAACTTCTTAAAGTTTGATCATTAAACCTGTTATGACATATTTGTGACAGGTTATGATTTCTTGGTTAATGTCAAGTTGTCATAATCAAGACATTTTTGTCTTTGTTAATGTCATGTTGTCATAACAAAGACATTTTAAACAATGTCAACTTTGCATTAAAAGTGTCATAATTTACCAAATGACGCTTAATGACAACAGTCATAAACATTCATAAATACTCCTTCATGTTCATGACAGGTGTTATGTCATGTTTATGACAGTGCCATGTCAGTTTTATGCACACCCCTTCGAATAAAGTGTTACCAATTTGACAGTAAAATAAATGTAATATTATTTAATAATCACAATAAATTCATTGGTTTAATTTAAGTTAGTCTCGAAAAGTGTGTTCATACTTTTTTTTTCTATAAATCATTCAGCCCTACATGGATTTAGCACTTTAAAGTCTTTAAACATGTGGCTCTTGGCTCTTTTCAACATTATATTCAATGCAGATAGACTGCACAACAACATCAGCCCCAATCATTCTAGAATGCATGGCTGCGTCCAAAATCACATACTTCCCCACTACTGTACTGTATATAGTAGGCGAAAAACAGTATGTGACAAAAGAACTGCGTCTAATATAAGTAGAAAAAAAGTACCCGGATGACCTACTACTCCCAATCTGATCCCGAAGTGTGGTGTGGACACTTTACTATCCCATAAGGCCACAGGAGAGGATCCGTGAATGGCAGTGAAGCGACGTAACTGACAAATGTAGTACAACCATGTAGTTCAAATGTAGTTCATTCTGTGTAGATACTTTTTTAGCGCTTGCAAAGCAAGTACTTATTCAAAATAATACCTGCTCCAGACAGTATGTGATGGATGCAGCCTAATTCTTTACAAATAGAGTTATTTAAGTCACCCGGCGAAACTTCCTGTATTCTTTCATATCGCAGAAAAACAAATATCGCAATGTCAGTTTTTTCCATATTTATCACACCATCACCATCAACATGCAAGCATACACACGCAGGACTCTCTGCACACATGAGGTCCATCTGCCGCACATGGAGCCCCTGAAATGACTCGTCGTCTCCTCCTCTGTCATTATTGTGTGTTATTCTCTAATGCAGACGGGTTGCAGAGGTCCGCGGCTTCCCGGGGCTCCGGCGTAAATCTCCCAGAGCACCTGCCTGTAATTTGACTGCTAATCCCTCGTTCCCTCCGTCACTGCATTACAGCCATTATGGGCTTTAGCCAGCCACATGACATGCTCCCGTACACACCGCAAATGAAATGCAAATACAGCCTCTTTCTGGACATAATGAAAATGACCTTCGCTGCCCCGCAAGAGTGAATCAGACGCTGACGTGTGTTTGAACATTGGTTCATCGATGACTAATACTGTTATCTAAAGAGGGCAGTGGCAGATAAGGGCTAATGCAATATTTAATCATAGCACACACATACACACTGAAATTCAACACTTTTTCACACTTAGATATTCTTTCTCAAAACATTACATAGTACTTTTCGTTTTATTTTCATCTCTATAATTTTACTCACTCTAACAAACATATTTTAATTACATTTTTAGCTTCAAATTTGAAGATTGAAATTTGATGTAATCTATTAAATAACCTATGGGCTATATGCACGCATAAGTTCCGCATTTGACGTAAGGATGCTCGTCCATTTCCGGTTGTGTAGATTAAAGCGGAGGAAAACCGGAGAAAACGGGATTATGGCAGAGTCTTCAATATTTACTGTCCTCCCGTCTTTGAAACGAAACGTACATACGTTTAGATGTAATTTTATATATAGTTATGTTTATTTAATATAATTTTAAAAAGAAGCATAAACACAACGAGGGGTGTCTGTTTTATCTGTTTTTGTGACTAACGTTTCATTAGTATAACCATGGAGTATAAAATTCAATATAAATTCTCGGTATTGCATTGGACTCTATGATCGGCGGAAGTTATCGAGCATCCCTAATGCTTCACCGGAAATAACGCCGTGCATAGAGCCCATTGAATCATAACTGAACTGAAAAACAATAACTAATCTGCAAGGTCACATTTTCTGTTTCTCAAAACATTACATGGTAGTTTTCAAATTTATTTTCAACACTATATCTATAATTGAAGAGTTCAGATGAAAAAGCCTCTAAATGCCATTTGACATTTTCTTCTTTAATGATGATTTTTTATCAAACTTGTATATTTGAGTTCAGTAATTTCACTTAAATGGCAATGATACTTACCTATTAATTGTTATTTAAGTGAAATTACTGAACTTAAATATGCAAGTTTGATAAAAATCATCATTAAAGAAGAAAATTTCAAATGGCATTTAGAGAATTTTGCATCTGAACTCTTCAATTTTACTCACTCTAACAAACATATTTTAATTACATTTTTAGCTTCAAATTTGAAAATTGAAATTTGATCAAATCCATAAAATAACCCATTTGCTTTTGACGATGAAAATCCTTGAATCATAACTGAACTGACAAACAATAACTAATCTGCAAGGTCACATAATAACTATGTTATTAATCAATTGTATGCACTACATACTTTACAATATGCAATAAACAACATGCTAGTGCCATTTCAAACATAAGCAGAGACCGTCGAACCATCAGAGCGTGTGGAGCGTCGTGTGTTGTACCTGTTTGGGTCCCGGCGGGCGCTCGTCCAGGTCAGTGTTTGCTGTTTGACGTCCCCTTGCCGTGACTGTTGGTCTTACTGCACACCTGGATGCTGTCGCCAGATTCAGGCTGTAACTTCACGGTCGGAACGGTGAAGATAGAAGACACTGAAAAACAACAACAGATTCAGTCTATGAGCCGGTATGTAACATGTATGAAATCTTTGACAAAGGACAACGGCCATCGGTGGGCCCAAATCCATTAAATTTTAAAACAGTAATATCCTAAACCTAAACTAATCTTGACAAAACTATCTATCATTTGAAAGCTTACACTAGTTTTCACATTTGGTGATTGATTTTCAAAATAAATTACAGTGGAGCTGTAATTTATCAATTTGCAACAAGAATATTTTCATACTCCTAAGGCGTGTTTTAGACCTTTATTTTGAAATAGTGATGAAGATGAAAAATCATGAGAGAAGGGTAGAAACCTCAGTTTGTTTTCATTCCAAGAGTTCAAAAGATAGCATCCATTCAATTATTTTAGAAAAAAAGGTCTGAAATTTTTTTAAGGAAATATTACAGATTCACCATTTGTGATGTGGCAGGAAGCTATAACGCACATGTTTTTTTTTGTTTCTTAGAGGTTGAATTCATATCAAAATCTGCCAAACGTCTCATATTACTTTTGAATAGGATGTCTACTTAATAAATTTTATGAAAATTGTGGAAATAATGGTTCATATCACTGAAAACACATATGGTAATGGAGGCGCCCTTATATGGGCAGTGATGGAGTCTGGTTGTGCTCTAGTGGAAGCGTTTGGTACTGCACCCAAACAAAATCTTACTGAAAGCGAATTTTTTGAGATATCAACCAAAAATTTGAAACACAACTTGATTTTTTTTGCAGTTTTAGAGTCGCCCAGGTTTTGAAAAAAAATATATATATATTTTACATTAAATATGAATAAAATTTTTTACATTGTACATTTTCATAAACTCAAACTTCTAATTTTTTCTGCTTCACTTTCTTCATTTATTTCACTTCTACAAAATCATTCTTCATTCTTTCATTCTTGAATTATAACCATTTAAGTTCGAAATTAGCATTTTCATGCATATTGACATTTAAAGGGTTAAAAGTACAGAAAGAGAGGGGGAAACAATAGTATTGTGATGATGATTGATGATTGAAAATTAGGAAATCGATAACTGAGAAATTCCAAATAGATCGATCCAGAAAAATATGATGAATCAAACTCTAAAACAAACTCATTCCTTTTGCTATAGGAATTTAAAATAATTATTAAAATTGGTTAATTCATTAACCAATCCAACCAGCATTGAGATAAAAACATTACAAACATTGATTTAAAACATTTTTTAAAATAAATAAGATAATGTAAAAAGTTGTGTTGAGAAGAAGAAACACTACAGTAAACCAGGAACAAACTGCATGAGGCTCTGACCAATAGCTATTAATAGATAAACAAGAATATATAATATATATAGCATTTCATAATTAATTCATCAAAGCTGTTTCTACTGCATTATATTCCTAAGAAACCAAATGTCACTATCTCAGATTCACACACACCAGAGTCAAACCCTTTTTACTGCATTCAAGAAGCCAGTGACCCTGTAAAGCTGCTTTAAACACTGATAAACCCTGATAAAAACAACCATTATTGAACATCTTACACCAAAACTCGAGTGTTTTCCATCATGCTCCCACTGTAACCGGCTCATTGTGATGAGCTCAAAACATTACAGATGTGTTTATCACTTCAGAGAGACCCTGAGATGTAGTGTCAAAGTACACAGACACACACACACACACACACACAATATGTAATATATACTATTGATTAAAACCAGTATGCAATGAACATTTGAACAGTTGTTTGTGTACATATGTGTGTAACATACATGATATATAAATAAATAAATAAATAAATATATTTGGTTCTTTTACTATGGTTCAACAGTAAAAATGGTTCTTGCCTATAACAACCAGCATAGTCAAGATAAATATGAGGCATTTCATTTAATAAACGCCATAAATCCTGCTGCATTTTCCGTATCAATCAAAGCCGGAGCTGAAATGTTAATTACTCGTCCAGCTTCCCCCAAACAGCAACCGTTCTCTTTTGTGACTGAACCGCAAGCGTATATGAAACAACAGAATTAATTTTCCCTTCATTCTTCTGCTTGAAAAGCAGCGCTGCGCTCTGTGCGTCAAAGATCCGCCTCCACGACTGAGTCCCGCCTTCCTCCCGAAAACAACCTGCTGTGAGCTGATAACAGGATTAATTCAGCTCCGACTCCTAATCTGTCAAATTAAAAACCTCATTCTCGTATTCAAATGACTTGCCCGACGCTTGTCTTCCGCAAACGCCTGTTTTCTGTAGCGCACAACATTTGTAGGACTTAATGTGCCTGTGCTGCAGTTTTGTCTGTCTACTAACCGAGGCATAAAGAAGATCAGCGGCTGTGGAGGTCTCACGTGTGGATTATGGATACATGTCACTTTAGACATGACAAAAGGCCTTGAGGTCTTTTAAAATCCCAAACCAGCCAGAATGACCCGAATCATCATCAGAAGCAGCTCAATGCTTCTGTTGAACATGAACGCTTTATTAGTCAGCATGAAACGGAAGTTGCAATCTTTTATCCCTATTGTATGGAGGCTTGTTTCCGCCACTGAATAAAAAAATAGTTTAAAAAAATAACTGCGAGATATGAAGTCAGAATTGCGAGAAATAAAGTCACAATTGCGAGATGTAAAGTCGCAATTTTGAGAAATATAGTTGCAATTCTGAGAAACAAAGTTGCAATTGCGAGATATAAAGTCAAATTTCTGAGAAATAAAGCCGCAATTGCGAGATATAAAGTCGCAATTCTGAGAAATAAAGTCGCAATTGCGAGATATAAAGTCGCAATTCTGAGAAATAAAGTCACAATTGCGAGATAAAAAGTTGCAATTCTGAGAAATAAAGTTGCAATTGCGAGATATCAAGTCGCAATTCTGAGAAATAAAGTTGCAATTGCGAGATATCAAGTCGCAATTCTGAGAAATAAAGTTGCAATTCTGAGAAACAAAGTTGCAATTGCGAGATATAAAGTCAAATTTCTGAGAAATAAAGCCGCAATTGCGAGATATAAAGTCGCAATTCTGAGAAATAAAGTCGCAATTGCGAGATATAAAGTCGCAATTCTGAGAAATAAAGTCACAATTGCGAGATAAAAAGTTGCAATTCTGAGAAATAAAGTTGCAATTGCGAGATATCAAGTCGCAATTCTGAGAAATAAAGTTGCAATTCTGAGAAACAAAGTTGCAATTGCGAGATATAAAGTCAAATTTCTGAGAAATAAAGCCGCAATTGCGAGATATAAAGTCGCAATTCTGAGAAATAAAGTCGCAATTGCGAGATATAAAGTAGCAATTCTGAGAAACAAAGTTGCAATTGCGAGATAAAAAGTTGCAATTCTGAGAAATAAAGTCACAATTGCGAGATAAAAGTTGCAATTCTGAGAAATAAAGTTGCAATTGCGAGATATCAAGTCGCAATTCTGAGAAATAAAGTTGCAATTCTGAGAAACAAAGTTGCAATTGCGAGATATAAAGTCAAATTTCTGAGAAATAAAGCCGCAATTGCGAGATATCAAGTCGCAATTCTGAGAAATAAAGTTGCAATTCTGAGAAATAAAGTTCCAATTGCGAGATATAAAGTCAAATTTCTGAGAAATAAAGCCGCAATTGCGAGATATAAAGTCGCAATTCTGAGAAATAAAGTTGCAATTGCGAGATAAAAAGTCAAAATTCCGAGAAATAAAGCCGCAATTGTGAGATATAAAGTCGCAATTCTGAGAAATAAAGTTGCAATTGCGAGATAAAAAGTCAAAATTCTGAGAAATAAAGTCACAATTGCGAGATATAAAGTCAAAATTCTGAGAAATAAAGTTACAATTGCGAGATATAAAGTCGCAGTTCTGAGAAATAAAGCCACAATTGCGAGATATAAAGTCGCAATTCTGAGAAATAAAGTCGCAATTGCGAGATATAAAGTCGCAATTTTGAGAAATAAAGCCGCAATTGCGAGATATAAAGTCGCAATTCTGAGAAATAAACTCGCAATTGCGAGATATGAAGTCGCAATTCTGAGAAATAAAGTCGCAATTCTGAGAAATAAAGTTGCAATTCTGAGAAATAAAGTTACAATTGCGAGATATAAAGTCAAATTTCTGAGAAATAAAGCCGCAATTGCGAGATTTAAAATCGCAATTCTGAGAAATAAAGTTGCAATTGCGAGATATAAAGTAGCAATTCTGAGAAATAAAGTTGCAATTGCGAGATAAAAAGTTGCAATTGCGAGATATCAAGTTGCAATTGCGAGATATCAAGTTGCAATTGCGAGATATCAAGTCGCAATTCTGAGAAATAAAGTCGCAATTCTGAGAAACAAAGTTGCAATTGCGAGATATAGTCAAATTTCTGAGAAATAAAGCCGCAATTGTGAGATATAAAGTCGCAATTCTGAGAAATAAAGTTGCAATTGCGAGATATCAAGTCGCAATTCTGAGAAATAAAGTTGCAATTCTGAGAAACAAAGTTGCAATTGCGAGATATAAAGTCAAATTTCTGAGAAATAAAGCCGCAATTGCGAGATATAAAGTCGCAATTCTGAGAAATAAAGTCGCAATTGCGAGATATAAAGTAGCAATTCTGAGAAATAAAGTTGCAATTGCGAGATAAAAAGTTGCAATTGCGAGATATCAAGTTGCAATTGCGAGATATCAAATTGCAATTGCGAGATATCAAGTCGCAATTCTGAGAAATAAAGTTGCAATTCTGAGAAATAAAGTTGCAATTGCGAGATATAAAGTCAAATTTCTGAGAAATAAAGTCGCAATTGCGAGATAAAAAGTCAAAATTCTGAGAAATAAAGCCGCAATTGCGAGATATAAAGTCGCAATTCTGAGAAATAAAGTCGCAATTGCGAGATAAAAAGTCAAAATTCTGAGAAATAAAGCCGCAATTGCGAGATATAAAGTCGCAATTCTGAGAAATAAAGTTGCAATTGCGAGATAAAAAGTCAAAATTCCGAGAAATAAAGCCGCAATTGCGAGATATAAAGTCGCAATTCTGAGAAATAAAGTTGCAATTGCGAGATATAAAGTCGCAATTCTGAGAAATAAAGTTGCAATTGCGAGATATAAAGTCAAAATTCTGAGAAATAAAGTTACAATTGCGAGATATAAAGTCGCAATTCTGAGAAATAAAGTTGCAATTGCGAGATAAAAAGTCAAAATTCTGAGAAATAAAGTTGCAATTGCGAGATATAAAGTCAAAATTCTGAGAAATAAAGTTACAATTGCGAGATATCAAGTCGCAATTCTGAGAAATAAAGTTGCAATTGCGATATAAAGTTGCAATTCTGAGAAATAAAGTCACAATTGCAAGATATAAAGTCGCAATTCTGAGAAATAAAGTTGCAATTGTGAGATATAAAGTCGCAATTCTGAGAAATAAAGTCGCAATTGCGAGATATTAATTTGCAATTCTGAGAAATAAAGTCGCAATTGCGAGATATAAAGTGAATTTTGAGAAATAAAGTCGCAATTGTGAGATATAAAGTCGCAATTCTGAGAAATAAAGTCACAATTGCGAGATATAACGTCAGAATTGATTGATATAAAGTCAAAATTGTGTGTTGTAAAGTCAGAATTGTGAGATATAAACTATTCTGAGGGGAAAAAGTTAAGTCTTTTTTTTTCTCTTAGAATTGGCCTGCTAACTCGAGTTTATATCTCACAATTGTGAGATATACGGGCACACGTACACTTTTAGTAAGGATCTACGCACAGTTTTATAAATGAGACTCCAGGTTTTTCACGATCGGATAGCTATAAACAGCCCCACATAGACAGACAGACAGACAGATAGAACGATAGATAGACAGATATTAAAAAATAGATCGAAACAAATGAAGAAAAAAAAGATATGTATATGAATATGAATAAAAGGATACAGTATTCTGTGCAGTGTGCTCTGATTATGTCCTGCACACTTTTGAACAGCATTATGTACTTTTGACAACTGTAGTAACTGTATCCTGCAAGCATGAGTAGTACGGTACAGCAGTGTGTGAGTGTGAAGACGGGTGATGCGGGTGTACTCACTGTCAGGCAGTTCCCAGAGTCTCGGGGGCAGATGGTTGAAGTACTCATGGTGGAGCGCCGCCTGGGCCGAGACACGGTTCTTTGGGAAGCACTGGAGAAATCTGGAAGCCAGCTCTTCAGCATGATCTACATAACCCAGCCTGCCAACACACACACACACACACATTTAAACATACAGATGATACAGTGCCAAAATCACCACACACACACACAGCTCGCATCTCTCTGTCAGCTTCACTCCCGCTGACATGCGGCTGGAAAAATGTTTGTTGACTTTTTTGGAGTGGAAAATGCAAAGTGAGTTTTCACCCTCAAACGTCCTCTAAACTGCAAAGACAAAGACCGACTCAAACACACCTGCATTCTCCACCGCAGAACAGATAAACACATGAACACACAGCAGATCTTTACAGCCGAGTGTACAGATGTGCTGAGGTCTGTAAATTAAACCAAGACACTGGTAATGATTTTAGGATGGCAAAACTCACATGAATGATTTACATCACAATCTAACAAAGATGGTCTGACATCACTACTTTATTTATCTGACGATGACTAGTGGAGTTAAGAGAGAGCCCAAGTCCCTCCCCTTCCGGTCGACCACCATATGACCTTATTTCGAAAAAATATTGAATGGCGAGAGACAACAAATATTTTGATCTCGTTTGAATTGTGCCCTGAATTACACATATGACGTTTGTCAATTTAAAAGATACATTTTAAAGTAAAGAAAGTCGCAGTTTGATGTAAAACCGTTGAGGTATAAGACTGTGAAAATACGTAATTACAAAGACTACAAACCCCACAGGCGCACATTTTCTCTCAATGAATGAAGCTAACTTTACTGAGGCTATTGTCTGTCATTGTTTCTATAGTCTTGCGTTATAATCGTAACTCGTAAGTGTTTTGTACCAGACTGCACACACACAAGCAGCAGATCTCGCTTGTTGTTTCGCTTCCCGGGAGATGTAGTTCATTGAGCGATTTTCACATAAAACTAAATGTTACTCTTCTGTTTTATGACAAACTGCGACGTTTTTGACTTTCAGAATTATCTTTTAAATTGACAAACATCATATGTGTAATTGAGGGCACAGTTCAGACGGAATAAAAAGATAAGCTGTCTCTCGCCATTGACTACCATTCATATTTTTTCCGAAATAAGGTCCCATGAGCCGGAAGCGGAGGGGCGGGACTTAGACTCTCTATAGTCTGGTCTTCTGTCCAAGAACCGCCTACTTCCAGACTGTCTGATTGACAGGTGAAGTGACCAATCACAGTTTGCTTGGTGTGTGTTGCTTAAAGGGATACTCCACCGGGTTTTCATATTAAACTATGTTATTCCCTTAATTAAGACGAGCTGATGCATACCTCTCTCGTCTCAGTGCGTGCACTCTATCGCTCTGTATTGCCGCAAAACTATGTTAGCACTTAGCTTAGCCCAGTGCATTAAATATGGGCCAGAAAGAGAAGTGACCAAACACTTCCTCGTTTTCCCTATTTAAACACAGTTACTCGATTAGTGTAACTCGACCTAGGCTGGTGACACAAAATAAAACGTTGTGTTTTTCTAAGCGTTTAAAATTGATGACTATATTGTATGGCGGAATACCATAAAAAAGTGCTTTAGAGCACTTCAACTTGGCGCAATAATACCTTCACTCGTGAAAAGTCCTCTTACCGGCTCCCGCTTCCTCGCTCTCCCCCTCCCTTTTATTTCCGTCAATGCAGCCAGCGTGACATGCGCCAAAGCGGGAGCCGGTAAGAGGACTTTTCACGAGTGAAGGTATTATTGCGCCAAGTTGAAGTGCTCTAAAGCACTTTTTTATGGTATTCCGCCATACAATATAGTCATCAATTTTAAACGCTTAGAAAAACACGTTTTATTTTGTGTCACCAGCCTAGGTCGAGTTACACTAATCGAGTAACTGTGTTTAAATAGGGAAAACGAGGAAGTGTTTGGTCACTTCTCTTTCTGGCCCATATTTAATGCACTGGGCTAAGCTAAGTGCTAACATAGTATTGCGGCAATACAGAGCGATAGAGTGCACGCACTGAGACGAGAGAGGTATGCATCAGCTCGTCTTAATTAAGGGAATAACATAGTTTAATATGAAAACCCGGTGGAGTATCCCTTTAAGGGCGGTTTATCTGAAATAGCACATATGACAACTATAGACCAGTATGGATAATGATTTAGTTTGCACAAAAAGACAACAAAAAACAAGCAGTAGTTTAAAATCAGAATTGCTTTCCATAAATCTGGATTATTTCACAGACAAAACACAGTAAAAACGAATCAAAATATATTGTACAGTTTCTATCATGGATATCTAGATTGTGCCCCAAATAAAACCTCAAAAGATTCCCTTTCATGATGCATGTTCTTGGAAGAGTGAGTTAGCATGACTGCCTGTTAGCATGCTTAGCTAGCATGACTGACTGTTAACATGCTTGTTTCTGGATATCATCTGTTCTGATGACACACTCATTTGAAGCAAATTCTGTCGCTCTACCGTGGTTTGATTCTGTCACATGATGCTAAAGATTCATGACTGATTCTCATGTTGCGTAGTGTGTTTTCGGGCCTAAGGCTGAATGTGTGTGTGCACGCGTGGTGACTGAACCCCTGAACTATCACACACACTACTGTCAACACATTAAAGAAACATGAAGTTTCTGTCCACCAGCGGCACTTTCAGCACCTAAAAATGTGTGTGTGAAACAAGCTTGTGTACGAGTGTGTGTGATTAGATGGCTTCTGTTTGCATCCCACTGGTGTTCTCATGCTTCTTCTGCTAGTTCAGATATGGGTTCATTTAAATCAGATCAGAAACTTCACAAAACTTCTGATCTGATCATGAGGAAAAGACCAAGGTCATTAGAGTTTCACGTTTGTTTTTCATTTTAACTTTAACTAATATTTTTTTACAGATTGATAGCTGATATTTAATTTGTTTAAATGTTTTCAGGACCTGATGCAATTTACATTACCGTTCAAAAGTTGTTTTATTTGGGGGAAAATGGTAACAATTTACAATAAGTTTATGAGTTAATGCTTTAACTAACAATAATAATTCCATTTGTTACAGTATTTATTCATTTTTGATAACATCAGTCAATAAAATACAGTTAATCAGCTCAGGTCCATTATTAACAGATCTTTTAGTGAATGTTGAATTTAACATTAACTTAGATAAATAAATACTTTAGAAGTAACATTGTTAGTTCATTTTGTTGTTTACTAATGTTAACAAATGTAACTTTACTGTGGTGTTACTGGATATTTGTCATTTAAAAAAAGTGTCCCACCGAAGGACTATTATTGCTCAGATGTTGCTCTTTCATTGCTTTCACTGATGCTTCATTTAAGGATCAACCGCATCTCAGATGTGTCTCCTAAAAGAAAGAGTATTAAGCAATGAAGAATGAAGTTGATGAGAAATGTCATATTGAGATTTCTGACTTTCAATTGATTTTGATTTGACTGAGCACGGTTTTCTAGATCGTCAAGATCTTTGCTGAAACTCAGGAGAAACATCTGAGACGAACAAAAGTCTCCATTTAAGGAGAAATAATTGAGATATTCAGAAGATTTCAGGTGATTTGCAATAGAAAATGGTGAAAAACTTATGAGAAACAGTCACATTACAGCATCTAAAACATTCACACGAAAGAAAAATGGGTGTTATAAAAAGCTATACAAAAACACATAATAAAAAATAGTCGTGGTCACTTACTTATTCCAGGCTTGTCTGAGTTTCTTGGGACTGTAGACGGTGAAGCGATCTGCAGATGAGAGACAAACGACAGATGAATAACACATCTGCTCACCAAACCACATTAATTTAATAAAAAATACAGTAAAATCAGTAATATTGTTCAATATTATCACAATTTAAAATGACTGTTTACTATGTGAATACATGGCTGAATTTTCAGCATTCAGTGTCACATGATCCTTCAGAAATATGATGATTTGGTGGTCAAGAAAATCATTAAAATCAGTTGTGCGGCTTCGTATTTTTGTGGAAACCGTGATAAATCTTTCTTTTTAGGATTCTTTGATAAATAGAAAGTAAAAATAAAACATAATTTTAACTTTTAATCATTACCATTTGGATCTAGACTTTAGGGATACTTTTTATCAATATAAAAATATTGATTTATTAAAAAATAAAACTGTTACTGACCCCAAACGTTTAAACAACTTTGGTCAGTGTCTGTCAATAAAGAAATGATATTCTTCACAGCTGATATTCATTCATCATGCTGGATATTCTATTCATATTTTTTTGTAATTGTTTTTATTTTTATATTTTCCATTTTAATTTGAGTTAGCTTTAGTCATTTTTTTTTAAATGTTGCCTTGTCAACTAACTTTTTTTTTTTTTTGGTAAAGTTAATTTTATTTCAAGAAACAAATATGTTTTTTTTATGGCTTTGGTTTTAGTTTTCGTTAACCACAATAACCCCTAAAGGTGCTCTATAATACAGAATATGTGTGAACTGCACACAGTAAACATCCTCTGTACTCTTTGTTCTAGATGTCGATTCATTAGTTTGGCCTCCTGCGGACTGGATCAATACACACCGTCCGCTTGGGCATTCAGGTATGAAACATCAGTGCACACACACACTCAATGCCCCTTATATAAAGCACAGCCGCTTCATGACCTGTAATTAAACATCCCAAACCCCACAACCGATCGCTAACACTTCATCAGGAGTGAGTGTTCAATAACAGCACACTGGGAGAATGGAACGGCATATTTACATATGGTCTCATATGGTATTATAAACTGGTCATAGTGTAGAAGAGCAGTGAACACTGTCCTCTGCTGCTACAACACTGAACTACACCTGTCTAGCTGTTATTAGGCAAGAAACTAGAGGAAAAGCACACGTTTTCTCACACAAACCGCTCGTTTTGTGCCTTAGGCCATCAATACTTACATTTATGAGACATTAAATCATGTTTAATTTGGACTTCTCTGTGCATGCTCTTTGAGGTGGTGACCAAAGACCTCCATTATATGACTGACAGACTAGAACGGTTTGACCTAAGAACATCAAAATTGAAACTACTTCGGAAACAAAGACACCTACATCTTGGATGCCCTTGAGGTAAGCTAAAACATATCAAAAATTAATTTCAACGTGAACTATCCCTTTAAACCCTAAAAACCTGGTGAAAAAGTTTGCAATTCTTACTGCAATTAATCAAATGGGAAAGTATAGTGATATCTATTGATCTATATTTATATATATTTTTTACCCTATTCAACCTCAAGCCATTATGACTTCATCCCAGAATAACAACCTCTTTTACCTTTATTGATTACATGTATTGTTGGATACTGGTAGAGACTAACAGTGTTTTAAAAGTTCAATTGATGGTGTTTTATTGAGGTTTCACTGGACGCTCAGTTTTTATGACGGTCACCTTGAGGAACATCAGAACTGGAGGATTGAATTGCAAAGGGAACATTTAGGCTGTGTACTTAAATAGGGCACTGTTGGAAAGGAACAACAATTTGAAGTTCTGTCCGAAACCATAGTGGACGTTATTAAGTGCACTCATTCTATCCCATAAGGCACCGCAATAACGAGTGTACAACCAATGTACACTCAACAGCTAGAGAATACCCATAATGCACTGTGAGGGTCATGCCAAATAAACTCCTGCATCTCTCCAGAAGATGGCGCTGAAGCTGAATAAATCATCCATACATTCACTTTCCAAAACACTGGTTCAATGTGGCAACATCGTCATATCATACAGGTATAAATTCCTTTTTAATTGATTAAATTGTTTAATTAAGGGATATACATGCTAGTTTTCATGACAGAGTTCAAAATACATCGTTCCATCACTACTGGAGCTGCCAGTTTGCTATGTTTTAACCGATTATCAAACAGCGAACTGCAAAAGCGGCAACCCTTCTGGCGAACTCAGTGTCCGAAATTCACTCACTTCTTCAAGTGGACTATATTAGTGGATTAATGTAGGGAATAGCGAATGAGGATATAGATTTCAAACGCAGCCTTAGATTTGAACAGCTCTTCAGTATCTGTGATCATTAGCATAACGGTTTATTCCGTTCACATCTCGTTCATTAGGCCATTGATAAAAGATAAAATAACTACATTATGACATTGTATTACATCAAAAAAGATTAAATTACTCATCTCATGAAATAAGATTTTATATAAGATCACCCACATCTATCCCAACCTGTTCAGAACTGTTGATTAAAGTCCCCCCGTAGTGAAAATCAAGGTTTTAATGTTATTTATATGTCTATGTGGTTTTTTAAAAATGCTTTAAGACAAACCATGTGCAAATTCATAAGTCAACACCATTGCTGAGTATTTTCTCCTTAAAAAACTGCAGTGAAAAAAAACACGGTTTGATTTAGCAATATAGCGGGTATATGATGTGTATCACGATGTTATGGTGAACTAAGCTATATACCTTCTCCCATTCAGTTGTTCATCAAAATGAACGAGTCATTTGGTTCATTCAACGAACGAAACGAACAAATTGACTTGTAAAAGATTCGTTCATTTTGATGAACGAGTTCGAACAGGAGAGTCACGAACGCTCATCACAGAACAGAGCAAGGCGAGTATTTGAGCTTATAAAACTTAAACTTTCTTATTTATTTATTAAATGAGCGATCGTTTCGCTTGATAAGACCCTTATTTATCGTCTGGAATCGTTCAAAGCCCTTTGAACAGTTTGTAGTTTGCACTGAAACTGTCTTTTGTACCTTGAACCGTTTGGACCCCATTGAAGTCCATTATATGGAGAAAAATCCTGGAATGTTTTCATCAAAAACCTTAATTTCTTTTCGACTGAAGAAAGAAAGACGTGGACATCTTGGATGACATGGGGGAGAGTAAATTATCAGCAAAAGTTTTTTTTTTAAAAGTGAACAACTCCTTTAATGAGCTCCCAGAGGTCGTCTGCTGGCGCACGGATGGAGGACGAGTCAGTGTGAGTCATTTACGGTCGGATGAACAGGACTTTACCTGGTTTGAAGTGCGGGAGCGAGTGAACACCTGGCCACGTGTCCTCCGACGGCGTCCCCAAAACCTGCACATCAGACAGAGAAGAAAGAAAACAAGCTGAAGTTAGAGCGCAGACATCCATCCCAGAGGGGTCTCCTGGACACCAGCAGGGTGGGACGTTTAATTCACACCACCGCTCCAAGCCATAGAAGATGTTCAATGCGAATAAACAAGTTTATTATGCGCAAGTGTGTGTGTAGAGCAGCAGTGCTGGCGGACAGCGGGGGCTTTTTGAAGTCTAAAGCTTGTAAAGAGCACGACTTGATTAAACACACACTGTAATTACAGCCGTCAGACTCGATGAGCCGAACCGCTGAGACGAGCCTCAGAGAGAGAGTGAGTGTGTGTGTGAGAGAGAGCGATGAAACCACAAACCTCTGAATGTCTCCCGGCCTCTCGTCCCTCAGAACTCTAATTATCAGAATTATTTTAATTATCAGGTGCTTTTAACCCATTTTCATTCTGCGACACATTCAGAAAGCGTTTTTAGTTTGATAACATTTTCTGAGGTGCTTGACTGTGCAAAACACTTGTCTTAGGCATCTCATCTAGCCTACATAAAGATCTTCTTCTTCTCATACTGATGTTATATCCTAGAGCCAGGACCCTGTGTGGTTTCTTTCTGTCTGGCGTGATGTAAAATCTTCGGATCTGGTTTCTCCTTCAATGAGCGCCTATGGGATTTATTTTTTTACCTGGTGAAAATGGTGCATCGATCACTTCACCTCTCCTCAAAAACACACATGATTTGAGGAATTGGTTAATGTCTGGAGCACAAATTATGCTGGACAATCCACACGTTCAGTAATGAGTTAAACATGAGTTATTAAACTGTACAAATGACCACACATTCTTTATGAGGGATCGATCTGTCCAGCAGGGGGCAGTGTTGAATTATGCTCCGTTTGATGAACATATCCCAGAACTTTTATTAAAAAATAAAACAAATAAATAATGATATCCTGAATATCAGCTGGCCACAAGTTAATTAGTCTAGGTTTAAATTAATTATGTTTGTGCTGTTTTAGAATCTTGATGAGAAATAATTCAATTGGAGTAGAATGCAAAACGACTTAATAGTATTTAAATACATTAAATGTCAACAACCAAACAAATGTGATCCACAATGACCCATGATAACACACACACACACACTTACCTAAATTAGGCCATATTATAGAATTTTAAACTGAAAATTAGGGCTGTCAAACGATTAATCGTGATTAATCGCATCCAAAAATAAAAGTTTGTGTTTAGATGATATATGTGGGTGCACTGTGTATAATTATTTTATATATATAAATACACACACATGCTTCGCTTGTATATATTTATAGATTTATATATCATTTATAAATATAAATATTTTATATATAAATTATATTTTTCTTAAATTTAAATACATGCATGTGTGTGTATTTATATATATACAAAATAATTATACACAGTGCACCCACATATATTATCTAAACACAAACTTTTATTTTGGATGCGATTAATCGCGATTAATCGTTTGACAGCCCTACTGAAAATATATAGACCACTAAACCAGTATCGGGTTTAGGTTGATATTCTGTCATGTTCTGTATGACATGCAGACACACACACAGCTTTAACTCAAAGCTTTAGTTGACCTTCAGAAACAAAGACATGAGAAATGTCCCGCGTCCCTGCGATCCGTCCACTTTCACAGTCATGTACCTCTGTGATGAGAAATCTCTCTGAGTCGAGCGTTCAGAAATCTCACAGGAACCGGCTTCAGCGCTGGAATAACAGAAACCGCTCTCTCTCTCCTTCTCTTTGTGTGTCTGTCTATCACGCTCTCAGAGAGCAAGACCCTTAAGACAACCTCCACTCAGGAGCAAAAGCAATCTGGAGCCAAATTTGTCTTCTATATTGAACACACATTGGGGGGAAAGATCGAGCCCTGGACATCAAACATCCAGCGCATGAATCTCTGAGAGCGGGTCACCTTGACATGACCGCAGATAGGTTCAGTCCGGATCAGGGACACACTCAAACACGGCAGAAGACACAAAGTCAACATGCACTCAAAACTCGCTCTTTTTGCCTTCTCTGCATGTTCCTGCTCTTATAGTGAATGATGCATCGATGCACGTTATTCTCATACTAGTGCAGAATATTCATGGCATGAGAAACTACAAGAACCCTTGACATACTGTACATAACTAGGAATATACACTCTTAAAAGAAATGGTTCTATTTAGAACCAGAAATGGTTCCATCCCCGGCTTCATAAATGGAACTCCAAAATGGTTCTATATAGAACCATTTTTGTGGTAAAAGGTTCTATTGTCCAAGTACGGAACCCCAGGGTTCTATATAGAACCCAGAGGAACCCTTTTTTTAAGAGTGTATAAAACCTTTTAGGGGTTCCAAATACATAGCGCTGATAGAACCTTTTAAGGTTCTATATAGAACCTTTTCTTCTAAGTGTGTAGGATTCCCATTAGCTTAGTGATGATATTGTAATTTGAACTATATATTGTGCCAATACTGCTATTGTCAGGATTCTGCATTTATAGGCAGCTCTTCCTCTGACACACAAAGCGCTCTGATCGGAGGGAAACCGGTTCATTCCTCATGTTTTGCATGAGCAGATGGACCAATGAGGTGTGAGACAACCGACTGATGGACTGTCAGATATCCTGTGCAGGTGTGTGTGTATGAGTGAGTGCGTGTGTGTGTCAGTTTGGAGAAGAGGGCAGATAAACAGTGAGTGGCATCAATGCTGAACTTTATGGAAATGAGAAGCTAACGAGACGAGGCTCTGACGTGTGCCATGAATTATAAGATGATGCAATTTACGTTTCGCTCAACACAGTCCATACACATCTAATTTTCTCAATATAGACATTAAATTTGAGACATTAAAGTCAACATTTCATTGTGCAAATATGATGACTTGCATTGTATATGTATGTATGTTTAAATGTACTGCATATAATTATAAAAAATAATATATATAAAATATACTGACACACACATACATGTACAGTACTGTAAATATAAGACTTTATTGACTATGTATTAAAGGAGTTCACTTTTGAAAACATTTGCTGATAATTTACTCTCCCCCATGTCATCCAAGATGTCCATGTCATTCTTTCTTCAGTTGCAAAGAAATTAAGGTTTTTGATGAAAACATTCCAGCATTTTCTCCATATAATGGACTTCAGTGGGAACCAAATGGTTCAAGGTCCAAAAGAAAGTTTCAGTGCAAACTGATTCCAGTTTAAACGATTCCAGATGATGAATAAGGGTCTTATCAAGCGAAACGATCACTCCTTTGAAAAGCATTCAAAATGAACGAATCTTTTCCGGAGTCAATTGATTCATTTAGTTTGTTGAATGAACCAAATGACTCGGAAAAAGATTCATTCATTTTGATGAACGAGTTCGAACAGGAGAGTCAAGAACGCGCATCACAGAACAAAGCAAGGCGAGCGTTTGAGCTTATAAAACTTAAACTTTGTTATTTATTTATTAAATGAGCGATCGTTTCGCTTGATAAGACCTTTATTTATCGTCTGGAATCGTTTAAAGCCCTTTGAACAGTTTACAGTTTGCACTGAAACTGTCTTTTGGACCTTGAACCGTTTGGTTCCCATTGAAGTCCATTATATGGAGAAAAATCCTGGAATGTTTTCATCGAAAACCTTAATTTCTTTTCGACTGAAGAAAGAATGACTCATGGGGGTGAGTAAATTATCAGCAAAGGTTTTTTCAAAAGTGAACTACTCCTTTAAATTATTGACTGTATTGATCCAAACAATGACACTATTGGCTGCTTTATAGCTGAATCAACGTCTCTCTCAAAACCGATAGTTTGCAACATCAACACCGTTGAGCTCAATTGAACTGACTCAAGCTGAATAACAACCCTTTGAAACAATTTCTATTGTATAAAGAGGTATAAATACAAAAGTGACTTGACAGAACTGCAACAGCAGATGGAGTGGCCTCTGAGAAACAGAAGGAGGTGCCGAAGTGCTTCAGTGGGGGTTCCTGTACGGCTGAACACGGCGAGAGTGACGCCGCATGTTTTATGGATGGTGTGTGGAGGGACGGGAGTCTTTGAAGTGCGAGCGGAGAGAGATCAGTGTTTTGCAGATCACCGGGAGACTGAGGGAAGACGTGCCGGCGCTGACAAACCACAGCACACATCAGGACAACACAAAACCTGAGAGCCACACACACCAGAGCAACTGATGACCTTCTTAAAGGGACAGTCCACCTCAAAATGAAAATTCTGTCAGTAATCACCCTCATGTTGTTCCAACCCTGTACGACTTTCGGTCATTTTCGGAACACAAATTACGATATTTTTGATTAAATCTGAGAGCTGGATGACTCCTCCATAGGCTTCCGAGACCGAGAAAAGTTAAAGACATGGTTAAAATAGTCCGAGTGACTACAGTGGCTCAATCTTAAGTTTATCAAGCGACAGTAAACATGATGAATGGCGACTGTAGAGCGCAAAAGCCCAATCCCGGACATTTTGGGCGATCTCGAAACACATTTTCGGGCAGACTCATCACAGAGACTCACTAGTAACCTAGACTTGTTGTTTATCTACTGCGCTCTGTTATCGGTAGGCGTGGCCTCCTAGGGCAGCGAAGCAAGTGCATTCTGGGAGTTGTTGTCTTTCATCCACATAAGCCAAAAATAAATTTTCTGGCTTTTCTCAGTCTAGAAAGCTCCAAATTCAAAAATAATTTCACATTTCGTCTACATAAATAACCCATTTTAAATACACATTCATATTCCAGAGGTGAAGTATCCCTTTAAATTCTTTGGTGCAAGCTGCCTTAACCCTTTGTGAAACTGTCGGTCCAAAACAGTTTCAAACATCTAGTTTACTTGCTATTAAGTGTCTCAAACAAAACTAAAAATCTTTAAAGGATTTAATGAGACAACCTTTAGTAAATCCAGTGTATGTGCAGCCAGTGACCATGAGAACTCATGCAGGTAAACGACTGTCAATCACCCCTGAAATGTCAACGGCAGTAAAGGCTCTTCCTCTTTGTCCTGTCACTAGCGGTCCCGCTGGGCAGAAGGTCGCCGCATGCCCTCGACCAGCTAAAACAGCGACCACCCAGACGCAGTAATTCATCTCCCCTGCCAGCTTCACTCTCACAGATCAAATCTCAGGAGCGTCTGGAAGCAAAGTTATGTAGGTCAGCTCAACTCATCTCTGAAGTGCTGAAAGACACATGCAGCAACCCGAACACGGTTCAAACGCTCTGTTGGGTCACCAGGAATAGGGAGGACACCAGTGAATCGAGTTTTACAATGTTTCTTTTGTCTAATGAACAGTGTTAAATAGCTGGTTATCATGTCGAAGCTAATGCTAGTCTGTTATGATCTGAAACGAATCATCTTGAATGGGTCAAACTGGTGGAAATGGACAAATTAAACAACCAAAACTTCAAATGAGTCATGAAATGATCTGTGAGTTAAAGATGCTCCTCTGGGCTTCATCATTACACTTGAATTATTTACAGGATTAGATAAGCAATGATTCAAAAATAACAACATTTTAAACATGGGTGTAAGGTAATATTAAAAATGCTGGGGAACAAATGAATAATGTAAAAATTAGTCATTGAAATCAAACACCGAGCTTGACTATGAACTCTAATCAGTCTCCTAACTAATAAGTCTCAATCTTCAACCTGTGTGATTTTGAATGTGCTGTGTGTAAATGTGTGTTTGTGTGAGTCATCATCCTGTAACGAGAAGAGACAGTTTAATTCTGATGTCAAACAGACTCGATGAACAGCTCACTATACGCCTGCACATGTTGCAGATAGATCCGTCCATATTCATACGCTGCAAAGCTAATCTCCTGCGGGATGACGGCTGGTTAAACACGGCCGGTCCAGTCTGTCTTCTTTAATATATCACACACACTTACAGAAGAAACTACCTGCATCCCACTCACACTCCAAAAATGAAGGATCTAATATAAAAAGAAAAAAATATTCAACAATGTACAGTATAGTACAAATTTTATTTAATAAAAAAAAGAATTGATTATCCAATTTTTTTAATTATGTAAAAAAAAATATATATTTTATTATAGAATAATAATATAGTGAAATATTATTGTAATGTATTTTAAAATATATTTTATTCCTGTGGAATTTTCAGCATCATTACTCCAGTCTTCAGTGTCACATGATCCTTCAGAAATCATTGTGCTCAAGAAACATTTCTGATTATTATTAATGTTGAACAGTTTTGCTGCTTCATTTTTTTTTGGATACACTGCCTTTGAAAAGTTTGAGCTAAAAAAGTAAAAAATAAAAAGAATTACACAATAATATTTTTATTCAACAAGGACGCATTAAAGTGACAACAATATACGTTTTACTAAAGATTTATATTTTAAATCAATGCTGTTCTTTTGAACTTTCAATTAATCAAAGAATGAATTATACATTTTAATCTGTATAATATTTTAATCTGTTACATAGTATTTTTAACTGTTGTAAGGTCATTGTATTTGACTTTTTAAGCATTGTAATTGTTAATGTATTTATTATGTATTTATTTTTGTTTTGTATTTTATGTGGAACCTTTACTGCGGCCTTCTTGGCCAGGGCTCCTTCGCAAAAGAGACTTGTACTCAAAGGATTTCCCTGGTTAAATAAATAAAAATAAATAAAAAAGAATCATGAAATAAAGGTCACAGTTTCCACAAAAAAATTAAGCAGCAAAAACATTTTTCAACATTGATAATAATAAGAACCATAAGTAATGATTGAGCAGCAAATCATCATATTATACTGATTTCTGAAGGATCATGTGACACTGAAGACTGGAGTAATGATGCTGAAAATTAAGCAGCTTTGATCACAGTAACATTTAACATAAAATAAGTTATTTTAAATTGCAATAATATTTCCCTGCATGTTTTACTGTATTTTTGATCAAATAAATGCAGCCAACTGAGAAACTCATTTAAGTCAAAAGAATATTCCACAGTTACGTTCTTCATCCTTATATCTTCTACCCACATCAACATATCCAAAAGTATTCTGAGCTATTCAGCCACAGTAAAGAGCAACACAGATATTCACTCTCAGAATTGGCTCCTCTCACATATGGCAGCACTGCATGATGGGATTCAAAATGCATCCTAAGCATAAAGTGTATAATTAACCTTGACTATCAGCGAGTTTATCTCCAGCTGAAAACAGACAGATCACACGTACAGGGTCCGAGTGCACGAACACAACAGCACTGTAAAAAAATGAATCATGGGTCTTGTAAAAAAAAAAAATAAATAAAAAATTGTGTATATTTTATTAAAAAAATGTGGATCAGTGTTGTATAGAAAATATTGAGAACATTTCACTAACAAAACTAGAGTCTGACCGATAAAGGATTTTGAAGGCCGATACCGATACATATATTTTTGGTTTTAAAATTCGATATTCCGATATATCAGCCGATATTTTATTTATTTATTTATTTAATTTTAACTGGATATGATAGTCACAAATTTTTGAGTTTTTTGAGTTAAGAGAACTGATGGAGATGTTCTTTTAATTGTTAATCAAGCAATGTATGTATCGTGACCAACTCAACAAGGTTTGCCAACAGGAACGGTGTAGAGTGCCCTCTGGTGGACAAACTATACAACTCCAACACTCATGACATCAAGCGTGTTTCGTCCGTTTTTATTTTATTTTTGAAATATTCATTTATCGGCCAGTTTAACTGCCGCTACCGATAGTTTGGAAAATGCCTAATATCGTCCGATAATATCGGTCTGCCGATATATCAGTCTGGCTCTAAATAAAACCAAATTTTTTTAAGGAAACGGCTTGAATTGAGGAACCGATTAAGCTGATAACATTATTTTAAGAGAATTAGCTCAATCATGCGGTTTTATTTAGAGACACCATTGTCAGTTCCCAGCATGCTTTGCACATGGCTGGTAATGGAGAGGAAATATTGAAATTAAGTGTTATTTTATGTGTTTTTGAGTATCATCTGTTAATGTTTAATGTTTAGTTATGTTTGACATTTGAAGGGGTTTGTATTATGTTGAAGTTTTGATGTCTAAACCATCCGAGGTAGACTGACCACGAGCTATGAGGTTGTGAAACGAAGGTTTTTGCTCCTGTTGAAGCTATAAATTGGTGGAGTCCGATAGACACCGCTGGACTAAATCTCGCCTGAAGTGTGGTTTGGATGGTAGATGAAAACTCTCAAGTGGGAAAGCGTGAAAGCTGAGGTATGGCTGTCTACGTCCTGATGCAGAGAGGTAAACGTTTCTATAGTAACAGCGAGTTGGACCAATCAGCAGATGTTGCTGCTACGCTTAGGATTGTGGGTAGTATAGTTTTTTCATAAGATTGCGGATAAAACATTTTTCTTTAAACAAGGTTGACTTCATATGAACTTATAGCTTCATCAGGAGCAAAAACCTTTGTTTCACAAACTCATATCGTGGTCAGTCTGAATAGTTTAGACATTAGGGCTGATTATTGAGACGGGAAGTTCTGTATCCCTACTCCGCGTTCCACAAGCAGGACGTGTGACATAGGCCTATCGCAGTAAAAAAATGACAGCGAGAGACAGTACCCATTGATTCTTCAGCTGTGTCTGACTCTAAATACCAGAATTTCTCTCTGGAAGCAGAATGTCAATGAGAAGGTCACAAGCGCTGGCTCCTCTTTTACTCATAGGATAAAGGAGTCTGGCCTTTGGAAGGCAGTAATGAAGAATAATCTCTGAAAGAAGGGTCAGATATGATGCTGGCCAGACTGACAGGAAGGAAGAATGTGAAAACAAGGGCGGAATGAAAATGTCAGTGTCAGAGAACAGTTACGAGCCAACGATCGAGCTGCCAGACTCCCTCCACCGCTCCATATTTATCAAGTGCCCACCTGACAGGGAGAAAACAAACCAAAAGCACCAGCCAACGCCTAATTAGATGACGTGACGGGTCCAAATAAACCATCAGCATTTCTGAACTAAGACGTCCTTCATTCAAGGACAGAGAACTTCTAGACTTCTGCTTTGTGTTCAGCACTCTTAAATCAATGCAAAATAAAAGTCATTACTGGCACCTAAATTAGATATTTTTCATACATGAACGGGAATATATAACTATTCCTTAAATTACTGTTACTGGGGACACTTAATATTCAATATTATTGATGATCTGACGCTGTTGTATGAGAACTGAAGTGAGCTGGACGATGCAGAACTGCTGTATGGATAAAATGATCAATATTATATGATAAATGATGATCTTCACAACGGAATGCATAATTGTCCTGTTTATCACTGTAAAGCTGCTATGAAAAAGTCTGTGATGTTTACAGCACTTTATAAATGACCTAAACGGATAAACCTTTAGTGTGTCGTCCTGTAATCTCAAACAAAAGAGACTCTGATGTGTCTTTGTTTTCACTCACATGAGCAGACGGCGGCTGAATTTCTCTGCGGCGGGTCGATCGGTGGAGCCAGTTTTCCCTCGTTCTGTCATTCCCCGGTGTAAATATATTTGGCCGCTGACCCTCACAGCCTACGGGCGTCTGTCTTACCCATGAACCCCTGGCCTCCCGCTCTATTCATCTCAGTAATTGTCTGTATGAATTATTTACCTGACTCGGAGGGTGAATATGAATTTAGTGTGTCTAACCATTACTCTCTAGTTCAATTATCAGAGTGGGACATTATGGGAAATGACAGTAGAATTCATGAGATGAAATATGCATGACCTTCCCTGAGTTTGTATATGTGTGTACATACATGTATCATGCCATATCTTTGTATTCATGGACACCCGAGGCACTACACAGAGGCATGCAGAATGGAGACAAAAGGAGACGCTTACCAGGAATATCCTCTCCAGCTGATCCTGAATGTCCTTCATGCCCGGGAATGCCGGCACTCCCTGGATCATTTCCACGAAGATGCATCCAACACCCCTGAAAAACAAACATCATTAACACTATGCCTTATAAAACTGAAACAGGGGCCCTGATTACACCTGGTATTGAGCCTTTTGGTCGATCGGATCACGAGCAGACGAGGGAGACGCATACCCGTTTACACGTGGTGTTTTAATCCATCTCTTTTATCCATTTTCTACCACTGATTTCCTCAAGGGAGGTGTCTATGGGTGGGTAAATGATTCAGATCTTCCGATCTAATGGATGAAATAAGCTCATGCATTTCCATATGAACGTGACCGGAGTGACCGGAGATGAAGGAAAAGCACACAGAGAGCATCAGCTTTGGTTTCTGCTCTGACAGGGATGGTGAGAGAACATTGTGCTTGGGATGTATTTCGTCTTGGATCTTCAGCCGGCAAAGCTTAAATTCTAGCGTTATCATACTCTCAGTAGCACCAGACTGAAATTGCAAATCCACATAATTTCACACTTATACAAGATTACCCCCCCCTCTAAAATATACCTTATATTATATTTCAGGATATGATTTAACCCTCTGGGATTCTTCGTTTAGGGGTTACACTTAGCTTCCTCCCAGTCAAAAAAGGCTGAAGCCTTAAAATTTAACCAATCAAATATATTCTTGTTCAATAATATTTAAGATTTTTTATGATACTTTGCATTTACGGAAGCCCTGAACCGCAACCTAAAAAAAAAATCTAGCATTTCGAGATTAAAATCGAAACATTTCGACTTGAATCTCGAAACATTTCGACTTGAATCTCGAAACATTAATCTCGAAACATTTCGACTTTAAGCTCAAAACATTTCGACTTTAATCTCGAAACATTTCGACTTTAATCACAAAACATTTCGACTTTAATCTCGAAACATTTCGACTTTAATCTCGAAACATTAATCTTGAAACATTTCGACTTTAATCTCAAAACATTTCGACTATAATCTCGAAACATTTCGACTTTAATCTTAAAACATTTCGACTTTAATCTCGAAACATTTCGACTTTAATCTCGAAACATTTCGACTTGAATCTCGAAACATTAATCTCGAAACATTTCGACTTTAAGCTCAAAACATTTCGACTTTAATCTGGAAACATTTCGACTTTAATTTCGAAATGCTAGATTTTTTTTTCTGTTTTTTTTTTATGTTGCGGTTCAGAGCTTCCGTAGCATCAATTATATAATTTTTATGAGCTATTTTTCCAATAGAATTAAATTTAAAAAAAAATTGTATTTTTATTAAAAAAAGAGTACAGAGTAAATAGAGTACAGGCTGCAGGCAAAAAAAAAAAATCAATTTGCACTCTTGATGTTTTAGAACGGCACCCCTTCATTGCTGTACACTTATTTCTGCACAGTGGCTGATCTGTAGCTTGTACCACCAAAAGTTTCTCTGAGTTTTCCTATTTTTTCATATTTCCCATTCATTCCGGACATTTTTGACCGGGAGGAAGCTAAGTGTGACTTTTTTTATGACCCTTTAACATATCCAAATCATCTCTTTGAATTTTTTTTGTGCCTTCACATAGGTAATACAACAAAAGTCACGATGAAGCAAAAAAATAAAAAATAAACATTTCAAAACGAAACAGTTTTCGGTCATTTTTGACCGAAGAAGCCCAGATTAAGTCATCAGGCGGAGAGAACACAGTCTTTTTTGGCTGTTCGAATACATTTGTCCATATGAGCGTTTTACACTACGACAGCAATCCGGTCGAATGCGTTTAACTACCTCTAGAAGCGGACAAGCTCAAAACATTTTAGACACCTGCATTTAGCGTCGTCCACTTGTAAATGACAAAACCGCTTCCTAATACCAGGTGTAAACAGGGCCTAGGATTGGACATCAGAATCAAAATAGTCAAGATATTTGAGGAGGAACCTGGCAAGAAGAGGCTGGAAACATCTGAGGTGACAGAAATGATGATTGTTCAGTTACAGTAGTTGTTTATAATGATTTCTGTCTCAGTGAGATTACACCTTCAACCTTCTATTTACTTGAAGCCCCGCTGAGATTGTAAGTCATTTAACAACATGTTCACAATTATTCTCTGATGTCGGTCACATGCATGCCTCTAATCTAATTAACTATTTCATCTTTTAAGTAAATGTTTTATTTTGATTAATTTCTTTCTCTTCTTAAAATAAAAACAAACATTACAGGGAAGAGAACTAAACATAGAACAAAACACAAAGCTGAGAGCAGTGAATGAAAATATTTGGCAAGGATGAAAAATCAATCAATATTTGACTATTTCGTGATTATTATCAGTGTTGTTTCTACTTGGCCGACGGGATGACTGATCTTGTTTACCAATATTTGAGTGAATTTTGTGTAAAATAAAATAAAGAGGCAAACATATTGTGTATCTCACATGCTACTATATCATTAAATTATATAGCATTATGATAAAGCAATATTAAAGCCATCCATCATAATACTCACTGAGAGACAATATATCATTTTTTATTCTAGAGTTGCCAAGCTTTAAATAGTGTGTGTATATATATGTGTGGATACGTAGATCTTCAGTAAGGCCATGAGAGGCAGTGAGTGTGTGACACATACTGTCGGGCTCCATTCGATTGTTTCCTGACACGTTCTAGCCCAGTAAACACGGTCACATCCTTGTCCCTTGAACTGGGACAGAGCCACACAAACCAAACTCGCCAGCACAGCAGTGAGATGTAAAACTCAACCGTCTCCAGATCCAGTCAGACCCCTCACCTCAACACACTCAGGTTTTAAATGTGGATGTGATATCGGTTTATCTCGAGCGGTTTGAGCTGACTGGCAGACGGCTGATAAGATGTCAGCTTATAGACGCGATGCCTCGCAGTCGGGCGGAGACGACCTCGTGCTAATCCTCATCCTGACTGAGCCGCGACGTGAACGGGTGACAGGAAAACCCTCCCGCACATGCGCGTGTACCTGCAGCCATGTGGAAAAGTGCCCTTCAGATCGGACCACCTGCTCTCAGTTTCCCTCTTAATTGCCAGTGGAGTCTGCAGCTGCGGTCCCGAGAACGGCTCATTTCTCAGGACAGCAGCTCCTCCCACCTCTTTAGACCGGTAGACTAGTCGACCAACACCGAAAATACAGGCCAATTACTCAAAATCTTTATTTAAAGGGATACTACAGGATTTAGCATTTAGCTTTGTGTTAGTAGAAAACCTGTAGTATTTTCGAATAACCGTGCTTTCCACCCTCATATCCCCCTGAGACGAGAGATTTATGTATTTTTTGTCTGGAAAAAATCCTCCGATGACGCAAAAATCGTCATTTTGTGTCATCTGAGGATTTTTTGTCCAGAGTCTAAAGACTACAGTCAACAGTAGGGTCTGTCCCACATGCGATCTCACTCACAGAATGAACACATAGTGTCGGCCATCTTTTTTTGGAAGCTAAGCTAGCAGGCTCTTGTTCTGTGAAAGCTGAGCTAGGGTTACCATCCTCTTTTTTACGGACATGTCCGGCCGTCGATGTCCGGGATTCAGCTTTTGCTTTCTGTAGTCGCCATTCATTGTTTACATGCACAGCTTTTGTTTCAATCTAACTGAATTTGTTCCGATTGGTGGATCTGAATGTAGTGTTTACATGAACGCTAAACAAGTGATCGGTTGATGTGTGTGTTTTAATATTGCTAAGAAAATTCCCGCTCCTTCGTGAGATACAAGACCGGTGTGTCTCACAGGTGTCGCTCATCAGTAATCACGCCACCGGCCTTGCGCCGTTTTCCCGCGGCCCTCACTCGTCCCGCTCGCCACAGTAAACATGATGAATGGCGACTGTAGAACGCAAAAGCCGAATCCCGGACATTTTGGGCGATCTCGAAACACACTTTCGGGCAGACTCATCACGGAGACTCACTAGTAGCCTAGACTTGTTGTTTAACGCTCTGTTACCAGTAGGCGTGGCCTCCTAGGGCAACGAAGCAAGTGCATTCTGGGAGTTGTTGTGTTTCATCCACATAAGCCAAAAATACATTTTCTGGCTTTTCTCAGTCTAGAAAGCTCCAAATTCAAAAATAATTTCACTTTTCTTCTACATAAGTGGCCCATTTTGAATACACATTCATCTTTCCAGAGCTGAAGTATCCCTTTAAAGGTACAGTAGGCAAATTATTTTATAAGCACTTTTCGTTATACTGGTTGAAACTCATCCTGATAACAGTAACAGAAATGGTCTAAATATTAAAACATGAATTTTTTTTGGTCGTCTAATTGTTGCATTCGGTCCGATGTCCTACCTGCTAGTCAATATATGCATTTCCATTGCTCCACGCACCAATCAGCCGCCTTTTACAGTTCCCCCTGAACCAAAACAACAAGCTTATGCTGCGGTCACTCCATGACGTAACCGTAAATACAAGATGGGACCCGTGACTTTCTACACTAAGCAGGATTTATGCATGTCAACACTATCAACGGTGAAATGATTATGCAGCAGTAAGAGTTTTTTAAGTTGTTTATGTTCATTATTATTGTAAAGGTATGTGCTTTGAGACGTGAGGTATGCCGTCTCTCGTCTCGTGACGCTTTGCAGACTCTGCTGTACGCGTTCATGTGTTTTGAAGGAGGTGTAACTTTGAAGACGCTCTGAACGGAGGGTGTGAACTCATGCTTTCAAAACTAGCCTGCTATTGCAAGCTTCTTCAGAATTGCCTACCCTCCCTTTAAGGCAAGATACTACAGGCAAAACCATTGTGTTTTTTTATGCAATGGTCAATTTTGAAATTTTGGACTATTTGGCTTTTCATAATGTGTTGTTTCAAGTGACTAGTGGAGAGACAACATCCAAAATACACATTTAAGTGTTAATTTTAATGCACTTTATCTATTTGTGTTTGTAGATTTCACCGACAATGTCTAAGGCGAGTCAGAAATCTCCACTTCAGCAGCTTTACATACGACAAAATGCATTTTTAACCTGGCTTTATTCAATGTTCAGATTTCTACATCCAAATGTGTCCATTTTTAATTGTATGATGCCTCATTTGCATATTTAAACATATTAAATGTCTTAATGTACTGAGATTAATTAATTGGGAAAAAAGTGTAGAGATCTATTAGTTTACATTTGTACTCTTTTCGCATTGCTATCTCCCCTTATAGTTAATGACACGATGACACAATGTCTGTTGATACAATACATTACAGTTACATCAAATAAATAATGTGCATTTAATCTATAACATTTACATGTAATCTGTTTGTTAATGCGAGTGGTTGTTCGCACATTACTATGCACTGCAGGAAGATGAGTTCTAAATTAAGATTTGATTCTTGCCTTATTTGAATATGATTTATGATTTTAATTCCTTATGCAAATTTTGACATATGACAGATTTTATCCGGGACCATATCCGTGCATCTCCATGCTAAGTTTCATTACATTATTGATTATTATTCTAGCGTTATCATACTCTCAGTAGCACCAGACTGAAATTGCAAATCCACTTAATTTCACACTTATACAAGATTTCCCTCCTCTAAAATATACCTTATTTTATATTTCAGGATATGATTTAAACTCAATAACCAAGAGGATATCACTTTCACTTTCAAGATAACGTGACATTTTTGTGACATTTGAGTGACATTTTTCTCATCCACTTGCTGAGACACGAAAGCACGAGTGTGAAAGGTCTGCTGGACTGGGACGGAGCTGGTCCAATGCGACACGCGCTCACACACACACACACACACACACACACACTGTTTGGCTGTGATTCTAATGACTGTTGATTTGTGCAGCCTCTGTGTAACTGCCACTCAGAGAGGAAAACTGCACACGCTCCACTGCTCTCAGCATCGATTCACACACGGGGCAGAAAGGGTTATGAGGAGGAGAGAGATGAGATGATAAGAAAAACAACAACTAAACAGTCTAAAGACACAAAGAGAAGTAGAAGAGATCTTCTGTGATGGAATGGAAAGAGCACAGGATATAGTTTTGAAAATATACAAATATATCATCACAAAAAAATGTAACTATGAAATATAAATATATATCCACCTTATTCCTACGCCCCATGATGCTTTGCGCGAATTATGGGCGTAACTTTCGCTAAGCTGTAAACGAAAAATGAACTTATCTTTTTTCGTGTCATTTGGTTCATTCAACGAATGAAATGAACGAGTTGACTCTGGAAAAGATTTGATCGTTTTGATGAACGAGTTGGAACAGGAGAGTCACGATCGCGCATCACAGAACACAGCAAGACGAGCATTTGAGCTTATAAAACTTAAACTTTGTTATTTTTTTAAATGAGCGATCGTTTCGCTTGATAAGACACTTATTCATCGTGTGGAATTGTTTAAAGCCCTTTGAACAGTTTGCACTGAAACTGTCTTTTGGACCATGAACCGTTTGGTTCCCATTGAAGTGCATTATATGGAGAAAAATCCTGGAATGTTTACATCAAAAACCTTAATTTCTTTTCGACTGAAGAAAGAAAGACACGGATATCTTGGATGACATGGGGGTGAGTAAATAATCAGCAAAAGTTTTTTTTAAAAAGTGAACTACTCCTTTAAAAAAATATACAATAATAAAATAAAAGCTTGATGGGTTACTTGTTTGAAAATGAAGAAATATTACTATTTATAAGAAATTGTTTTTTATTACTAGATTCTATATTTTATATGATACAATATTATTTCTTAATATTTTTATCGCTAAAATCATCATATTTTTTTTGTCACACTGAAAAATAGCAGGAATGTGGCCTATAAAACTCAGGTGGGGAGAAATAAAAAAAAAAAAAAAAACTTTTACTAGCACTAAAAAGAGAAAATCGTTTCAATTTGACAAATAATTGCAGCATAAGGGGATGTCGTGTGTGCACTGATGCAGAGGAGGTCTCACCACATGTCCAGACAGGTGGAGTAGTCAGTGGAGCCGAGCAGCACGTCTGGAGGACGATACCAGAGAGTCACCACCTCATTAGAGTACGTGTGGCTGGGGACCGACTTCGCACGAGCCAGACCTGCAGAAAACACACACACACACAAAATCATCACTTTTACAAACACACAGCTCACTGAGATCTCAGCTCTTCCAGCTCACAGGAGAGCCGAGGCATGCTCAATTAACCCGTTTCCCTTAAACACACTTGACTTCCTGTATTTGAAACTGCTCGGCGAGGGGGCGTCTGGAAATATCAGCAAAGGCTTCACGCCAGTATAATTTGCAGTCAATAATCCTGCAGCTAAACAAAGGGCTGCGTCAGAGAGAGTGAGAGGCTGTGGTTTAGGTTAACACACCGACGGAGCCTCTAATCATCATTACACTAAACTGGAGAGTAATAGTCACCCGGGTGGCAGCGCAACCCGCATCTGAGCCTATAATTGATGGGAGAGCGAGAAAATGAGGAGGAGCGGATGAGAGGTCAGAGATGATGAAGGCAATTCGAGGAGGAGGGAGGACGTCCTTTCCTGGTCCTGAGGCGGTCGTCATGGCAACGCTGCGGGCGAGCTGACATTAACTATGAACGCCGGCTGAAGGAGATCGAGGGAGCGTCGCGTAATGAAGGCCTCGGTGTCCGCCGGTTCAAAGCGCCCGAGGGTCTCCGGAGGGGGTCGAGGGTCAAGCTGAGTAAATTATACATCACTCACTGTCCCAGAGTGACATGAAGGACAGAAACAGATGAGGAGACAACCAGAAGAACAAAGAGAGGAGGAGTTATGAAGGTTTGGAAGAAAATTAGGGCTGCTCGAGATTTCGAAATAAAACCGTGATAAATCAAACTTTCGGTTTTCGCTACCGGAAAACTACACGCAAGTACTTCGGGATACAATATAACACACAACTAGTCAAGATATTTTAATATGTATATATTTTAATTATATATATATATATAATACAATTAGACAATCACAATATATCAACATAGTACATAAAAATATACAAAAACAATCATAAAAATAAATACAATGCTAACATATTTTAACAGAAAAATATAATACCATATAAATATACAACTATGATATAATACTAACATATAGGAAAGCATTCAAATATTCAAATATTAACATATACATAAATATAATAACATAAAAATATACAACTACCATGATATTAGATAGATACCACGAACTTCAGTGCACAATTTATCGAAATAAAAACAGAATATCTTGATTATCTTAAATAAATATCTGCGCTACCAGTTTCAGAGTGAGGTGAAGAGTGAAATGAACACTGCTTTTTATTTGTCCACAACCCGTCAAACTAATAGCCAAATACACACACACACACACACACACACACACACACACACACACACACACACACACACACACACACACACACACACACACACACACACACACACACACACACACACACACACACACACACACACACACACACACGTATCTAAATGAACAGGGATTTCCTCCACTACAACAAACACACTGAATACAAAAGTGGGTCAGTCAAGCTAACATCTACACAACCGTCAACGCAGAGTAGACTATGATCAAAACATGAAAAATGTAATAAAGGCATATTCAATACCTCCAGGTGTCACATGTCCGCTGTGGCAGAGATGATCGGGAGGAGTTTCATTACAGTGCTGTTTATTTTCACACATTTCTGAGTTGCAATTACTGATTGTTTGGCAGGGAATTTCTGTGCGGTGATCGAACCCAGTGCTGATGACTGGCACTGCACATTAGCGTCACCTTTTTCATATGCAAAATTGATTAGCTCCTTTATCAAGATGTTAATGAAGTGAATTAGCCGTCAGATTGGATGCATGTCAATAATAACTGCTTCATCAAAATAACCTGGAGATGCGATTGTGTGCTTTGGTGTGCACGCATACACATCTTCAGCTGAATGCACTCAATCAATACGTCCTTAAAAATAAAGCTCTTTATATAGTTCTTTACAAAACATCATATATGTACCGGTTTATATTTAAATTTACATTTAGTATTCATTATGATTTACATTTAATAGTCATTTAGCACTTACATTTAGCAGCAAATGTTGTGACCAGTCTCAGCTACACCAGTTACTAAGTCTAGATGGGATTTTTTTTATTTAATACATAAAGATTAGTAATTATTGTGGAGTCAAATGTTGGCGAAAGAGATGCATATATATATATATATATATGAGAATGCTGTGTTAATTCCAGAGGGACAAGTATAAAACCCCTCTGAAGAAGGATTAAATGATGGAGCTCAGCAAGAAAGCTGCAAAAGATCTGCTTTGCTCTTGGAAGATTCACAATTCCCATTAGGTCATCGTAAGTATACAGTATACCATCAGCAGGACTAACATACACTTCTTCATACAGCACACGAAAGAACATCAGAGATCACACTAAAGCTCACGTCTCCTTATGAAAATTTCTTCAATATAAACTCAGAATAGTGTGGAAAAAAAGTCGAGATAGCGAATTGCGAGATACGTCAAAATGGTAAGATATAAACTCAAAATTACGAGAAAAAGGTTAGAATTGCGATTTAGATTCAGAGTTATGAGGGGGAAAAAAGCAAAAATTGCAAACAAAACTATGTATTGGTGTATAGACGAATCCGACGAGCGTTCTTGTGTAGGCTGCCATCTTGTGGCGACGCCATTACTGAGCTGTTACACCGGCATAGACATATGCACCGGTATGTAAACAAACCTCGGAGATAAGGTGATAACGCACCCTTGATGACAGCTACAGCCAGGCAGACTTGTTGGGTTGATGATGTTAGACATTGGCCTCCAGTCACAGATGAAGGTACAAACGATCTTACAGATTATTTATGAAAATAGCTTGGCAAGCTAGCTAGGCTAACGTTTGCTACCGAGGAAACTAAAAAAAGATCTGTCCATTTGGCAACAATAAATAAATAAATAAATAAATGAAATCAAATAAACAATTTCATGTTTGTGCATTTGTGTGCATTTGTGTCCATTATTTATCTCATTTTTACATTGCAACGGGCATGGGTAAGGTAACGTTACAGCTAGAAAGTATACATAATATCGACCAACTACTGTTTTTGAAAACCATGGAAAGAGGTCAATATAACAGCAGGAGAACAATTATGTCACATAACGTTACATTCAGCTCAGGAAAGCCATTTAATGACCATAGCATGTAAATTGAATAGAAAAAATAACAAGAGAGGAGATTTTGCTGATCACTATATCACACATTTATTATATTTTTTTACTTATGTCATTAAATAATTGTTATTATACGCGAATGTCCGCGTCTTGTACTCGCCCAGGAAATCTGTGTAAACCGTACGGCACCAGACAGGGGCAGTCGACCCAGGTATTCACAATGTTTTCTCTTCAAAATTGAAATTTTACTGCCACCATTGAAACAATTTATAACGGAAACTGTTTACCCACTCGACATTATACAAGGGGTAACGTTGTAACGTTAGTGACAGTCGTAAATCGCGAGCTGTTTATTCCAGTGGACGTAAGTTGCAACTAAAACAATAGAAGGCAATGGCGCAACGCTACCCAGCAATAGCTCAGTAATGGCGCCCCGCTTACTTCCGGTAGTTTCGCCGGATTCGTCTATTTAAAGCTACTTAAGTGGAGATTTCTGACTGAAAATTGTGAGATGTAAACTCAGAATTCTGGAAAGAAAATCAAAATGGCAAGATATTAACTAGCAATTAGAGAAAAAAAAATCTAAATTGTAAGATATAAACTCTCAGTGAAGGAAAAAATGTGCAATTGTGAGAAAAAATCTCAAATTTGAGGTAAAAGTAACAATTATCTTTTTATTTTACAGCAGCTCCTCGCATCCTCCTCTTGTCTGGTCCTTGCGGTCCAGCCCAGATCGAGCTCAGTGTCTTCAGTGTGTGTAGGGTCTGTACCTCATATCCCACCAGCGGCACTCACACTCAAACTCTCGCTCCACTGCAGTCAGCAGATGTTCAGTCCATCACAAACACACACGGGAGGGTGTAAAACACGGTCCTGCGAACAGTTTGTCGACTCTGCTGCTGTGCTCATGTGGAAGACACCGGTTTAAACGCTTCCAAACTGAAATCACAGCAAAAGCGCTCAGCAGTGTTCACCTGTTCCCATAAGGCACTGCTTCACCCTACACACACACAAGCTACTTGCAAAATTCTGCAATAAACTTATGTAATAATGTATGACATAATGTATCTTTAGTGAAAAATAAATGTTACAAAATTACTGTTGCTTAAACTACTTGGACTATTGTAATATTATAGTTAGTCATCTATTTATTATTTTCTTTTAAGACCGGTTATAAGACCGGTAATAATTTACAGCAGCGAGGAGCTGCTGTAAAATAAAAAGATAATTGTTACTTTTACCTCCAAAATTTTAGATTTTTTCCTCACGATTGCACATTTTTTCCTTCACGATTCTGAGTTTATATCTTACGATTTCGATTTTTTTCTCTAATTGCTAGTTAATATCTTGCCATTTTGATTTTCTTTTCAGAATTCTGAGTTTACATCTCGCAATTTTCAGTCAGAAATCTCCACTTCAGCAGCTTTAAATACACCAATACATAGTTTTGTTTGAAATTTTTACTTTTTTTCCCCTCATAATTCTGAATCTAAAATTAGTCTTTGATCTGATTTGAAGACAAAAAAGTAAAACTGATTATCCCTTGGATATATATATATATATATATATATAAATTATCACACTGCCTAAAACTCACAACCTACTTTAAATATTTTGCAATAAACTTAATTTTTGAAAAAAATATATTTAATTATATGAAATATTATATATTTATATTACATTCCCAGAACAGAAAAATTAGCATTGAATAAGCGAGGATCAAAATTCTTGTTTGATTTTGTTCAACATACTTTTTTTATCACTCCATAAATCAGAAAATACCGTCAACCGTCAGAAAATAAATAGGCAACGCTTCCTTTTACAGTCCAGTTACCCATGTAAATACTATGTACTTATTTTAGTAACTACAATTACTGGGTAATAACTAGTACTAACCCTGAACCTACCCCTAAACCTACCCCTGTTCCATGTACTTACCTTATATTAGCCAGTACTTTCTAGGTAAGTACACTGTAAGTACTGTACTGTAAAAAAAAGCGTTACCAATAAATACATTTTCACCATGGTTTTAAGAAATAAAACCTTACGTGTTTTGGATGTTTTCTTCCCCCTACTCTGATAGAAAGCATGTTGTGGAAATCTTCCAGCACATCTCATCTTTCCCTGCAGATGATGAAGTCTTATAATGGAGGAACACTAGACTCATGTTGTGGAGGACAGGAGGGGTGGCGGTGACAGATCGGCCCCTGATGACCCCGCTGAGGACACCGGGAGAGCCGCACGCGAGCGCCCGGGCGGAGAGAGGGACCATATGCCAGTCCAAACGCCTCTCGCCAGCTGTTTGAGGACACGGAGACACCGAAAATACACTGCTTTTGGCAGGCCTGAGATTCCCGCTTGAATCACTCCGGCCCTAATTGAGTGGAAGGAACAACGTCCCACCAGGAATCTGAGCAGCAATCTGCTGGTCAAGCTGTCTGTCTGTCTCGCCATACTTCCCTTTCCTTTCGTTCGTTCACATTTCGCTTTGTTGTGAATGATTGCTATTCACCTTCTGAACAGCTTTTGTCACGTTTGTTCATCCTCCGTTTCTCTCAGAATCCTGTCGGGAGTTTTACTTCCTACAAAAGAGCCCAGCAGTGACACACACACACACGTTTACAGCAGCGTTGCTTATTGAAGCATTTCTCCTGTTCATTTTCTCCATTAGCTTGTAAAACGTCCTTAAGCTCCAACATTTGATTTGAAGCAAAAACAGGAAATGTGTCCTTAAATTGAGGGAATGAGCAGCTCATCCAATTAAGCACTGTAAATAATGCAATCACAAAATATAACATAATACAATATATTGTAGGTAGTATAATATATATATATTAGTGCTGTCAAACGATTAAAATATTTAATCGCGATTAATCACACTAATGCCATAGTTAACTCGCGATTAATCGCACATTTTTATCTATTCTAAATGTCTCTTGATTTCTTTTTGTTACATTATTTTTTTCTCATTTTAATGCTCTTATCAATATGGAAAAGTGGAAAAATTATTATTGAAAATAACATTGGAATAGTGTTCAATTTCACACTAACATATAGCCTATAAATAATCTCTCACACAATGTAACACTGTCTATCAATAAAAGGGTGAAAGAAATACTGATGAGGTCCTGATATTGGCGAAGGGGCGGAGAATTCGCATCATCTGTGTGTGTGTGTGTGTGTGTTTGCTTGGCCATCATCAAGTGGTGTTTCAGACTGGACGTGCTGCGGTGATGATCGCTCAGTTCACAACGACAAAACACAGATCACTTGGTCTTGTCAATGGGACAATATGGCAACTTTTTAAAAGTAAACTTTCCATTCAGAATCTTAGGGCATCCATTTCGGCGTCTCGCGCTCGTCATCCACTCAAAAGTAACGTTACTATTTGGCCGGCTCGCAAGCCGAAACGAGTGTGTGCGGCACAAAACGTCCTCGCGCTGCGCTCTGAAACCCTTTCATTTCAATGGCTTGCGTCACGCGAGGATGTTTTGTTGCTTCTTCGACCAAAGCGCAAGCGCATCTAGACCGTAAATTTGAGTGGATGACGAGCGCGAGATGCCGAAATGGATCAGGACGCATGCCGTGTCCTGTTGCAAAAGCATGTGAAAAAACTACAAAGTTTGCTAGGACAAAAACACCGTTAATCACGCGATAAAAAAAATTAACGCCGTTAAAATGGGTTTGCGTTAACACCGTTAATAACGCGTTAAACTGACAGCCCTAATATATATATATATATATATATATATATAGAGGCGTGTCGAATTAATTGAATATCAATACATAATACACAAAAAAAAACATTTAGTCTTCTTTTATTAAATATAATGTTTGTATAGGGGCCTGATATCTTGAATTTTAGGATATTTAACTGCTTTCTACAGGCCTCATCACACAGCGAGTTAGGGTTAGGGTTGCCCTGCTTTATGTTCGTCACCAATCAACTGTATGAAATGTCAAATGTCGTTCTCACCGAAGTCGGCCAGTTTGAGCTCGCCTGTGTCGCTGATGAGCAGGTTCTGTGGCTTCAGGTCTCGGTGAAGGATGTAGCGCTGATGGATGTAAGACAGACCCCTCAATAACTGGAACAGGAACAGCTGCGGAAACAGATCAGTTCATGTGTAAGCATCACAAATCATCAACACATCTATGACACCAGCGAATCAATATATCATTGGTAAAACCCAAATCACCAAGATCCATCCCAGCACATGTGTCAATTGAAGTAAACAGGACCCTGATAATGTGACACACACTTCTCCATCTAAGGATGTTATTTGTTCCAATCTTCCCCATCGATATTGTGCTTTTATATGATCTCATTTTATTCAGCAGCATCAATACATGTGGAGTATTGATGAAGACCAGCGAGCCTCCTTAAATCAATCCACAATAGAAAGCGAACAATCGATGCGCGAAACACATCTGAACCAAACACAACCACGGCCTTCACTCGTAAAGCCTCGCATCAATCCGAGGAGAGGAGAGCAAGAGTGGCCCGGAGAGATTCAAATGCCTCTCCGTCAAACAAAACCATCAAGGTCTCGGACAATTAGGCGAAGCACGGGAGCGAGGTGTCCAATCAGAGAAGAGTTCATCTGGAGTCATCAGAGGCTTCACACACGTTCAGGTTCACTCATGTGGAGCCAAACACAGTTCTGAAGACGCTGCTGCTCATTAAGAGAACAGGTTTAACGATACCGTTATTCTCCAGCATCTCCAGCGACGTGTCGAATGGCCATCAAGGGAGCGCTTAACTGCTCACTTCAAGAGGAACATCCCACAATCACATTAACATTATATTCCAAACAGAACGATCTACAGGAGTGAGGAAAGTCTAGGGGAAACATCAGCAAATACAGAATCACTGGTGTACAACATTGATAAACAACACACACGCGCAAATATATATGTGTATGTTTGTTGATATTAATATTTTTTAGGGTTAAAACTTGCTCTGACAGATATGCAAAACAGATAAATAGATGATATAATAATATTAATATTTATTTGTTTATTAAATTGTTTGCTCTTACAGAAATACTTACATTCAACACTGATTTTATATATATATATATATATATATATATATATATGTATATATATAAAAAATTACATACAAATAAAAACTTAATAAATTCATCAATAAAATTAAACAAATATATATGGTTGTATTTAAATATTTATATTGTTTGTATATTTTATTGAAATATTGGTATACAACATTTATTAAATATAATTATATATTAGGCAGAGACAGACCAACAGACAGGCACAGACAGAGAAACAGAGACAGATAGACAGACAGGCAGACAAGCAGAGAAACAGACAGACAGACAGACAGGCAGGCAGACAGACAGACATAGAAACAGACAGACAGACATAGACAGACAGACAGACAGATAGACAGACAGATAGACAGGCCGACAGACAGGCAGACAGACATAGACACAGACAGACAGACAGACAGACAAGCAGAGAAACAGACAGACAGACAGACATAGACACACAGACAGACAGACAGACCGACAGACAGGCAGGCAGACAGACAGACATAGAAACAGACAGACAGACATAGACAGACAGACAGACAGATAGACAGACATAGACAGACAGACAAACAGATACAGACAGACAGAGAAACAGACAGACAGACATAGACAGACAGACAGACAGATAGATAGACAGACATAGACAGACAGACAGACAAACAGATACAGACAGACAGAGAAACAGACAGACAGACATAGACAGACAGACAGACAGATAGATCGACAGACATAGACAGACAGACAGACAAACAGATACAGACAGACAGAGAAACAGACAGACAGACAGACACACACAGATTGACAGACAGACACAGCCATGGTATGCTTGAATCAGGCAGCGTTGTTACATGTGTACATAATGTTTATCATAAATTGGTAACATTTTACAATTACATAAAAAACATTTGTAGACAAACTTTAAGTTCTCTTGAAAAAAGCCTAACTAGAAAGTTTGAAGTAGTTTTAAAAGCTTGAAGTTTGAAGGTTTTCAATTGGAAAGTTTTTTATATCACGCAATTCTGACTTAATATCTCCAATTCTGACTTTATAGACACTTTACAGACACTTGTATGGCGGCGTTGGTATTAGCGTTCCCATAGCGATTACATGCAGCTCGAAGTTCCCTGATAGGGAACGTATGTAAACTTAGTTCCCTAAAGGGAACGAGACGCTGCGTGTCCATGCCATACTCCCAGCATGCCCGTGAACACTTGCTTCAGTCTTATCAGGGTTTTTGGGGTGCTTTATAGTTTCCTGGTCGATACGTCACCCCGCCTATGACGTTCCGTCTCGCCATTGGACTGATTTCATACGTGCTTAATGACGCACTCACGCAGGGGCGTTCCCATAGTGGTTACACGCAGCGTCTCGTTCCCTTCAGGGAACTAAGGTTACATATGTAACCAGAGACGTTCTTTCATTATAGCCTTGAAATAAAGATCCAATCTCAAGGCCGGATCGGATTAAACTGGGAAGCGGAGACATTGCCTGGAGGTACACCCATGTGAAGAGGTTTAATACTACAAACCATTCAAGGCCATTCGCCATTACAACAGGCATTTCACTTCTGGGAATGTGGTAATTACATTATGGCTGCAAGAACGAGAGTAATTTATCATTTGTACAGCCGTATCTCCATATCTGTCTGATAATCCATCTTAACACTTCATCACTAATTTCACATTAACATATTAGCACATATTGGTTTTTGATTATAATCCTCAACTATCTCATGTATCACTAGTACTAATTACTTTACTACAGTAAGTGATCAGATGCACAGCTTTCACACGCTGGATGATAAAACAAATCCCGCAACAACAAAAAACAACAGTAAAAATATTTTTTAAATATATGTATATAAATATACTCATTTAATTACTATGATATGAAAAATATGATTTTACTGTAAAAAAAGATAAAATATTTATTAATAAATGTTTGTCAAAATATTAGTATTTTATTTATTAAAATAATAATAATAATAATATCGTACTGAAAATTAACTATTTAATAATAATAGTATTTTATTAAATTATAAAAACACTAAAATAAAAATGCTAATGTACTGTAAAATAAAAAGTAAATATTTAACAATAAAAAAGTTGTATATATTTTAAATACAATTGCGACTATACAATTATGATAAACATTTAATAATACAATAATAATAATAATAATAATAATGTTGAATTTTTATTTTTATTTTAATAAATTATAAAATATTTAACAACTTACAATAATAAAATACTATTGAACTGTAAAATGAAAATCAAATAATTAATAATAACAATAAGTACAATAGTTGTTAAACATTTTTCTTTCTATTATTAAAATTAAATAATTAAAACGGTGTAAAAAATATTTTCTTAAATTAGAACAATTAAATTACTATAATATTTAATAATAATAATAATAATAATTAATAAAACTAAAATGACTATAACAACTGACTATTGTACTGTAAAATAAAAACAAGCAATTATTAATACAAAATAATGTTGTTGGTGAAACATTTTATTTTAATAAATTATAAAAAATAAACAAATTACTATAATATACAATATACATATATACTGTAAAATAAAAAATGTATAATAATAATAGTTGTTAAAATATTTGATTTTAATTAATACAATTATTTCATATATAAAAATAAATAAAATACTGAATAATAATAATAAGAATAATAATATTTTACAGAACAACATTTAATTGCTTTCAAAACATTATTTTGGAAAAACAAATATGTTTTGGCTGAACTCTTAATCCTTTGCTTTTCATTGGAAAAACAAGCCACTCACACAGTTTTTCTCCTTCAAACTAATAGACTTAAAGTGTCTATCTTATATAAAACAAAAGAAATGACAAAAATTAATAGGTTCTAATGACTGAATGACCCATTTCTTTCTCATACATATTTATTCTGCAATAATAACTGATTATCTGTTATTTTACAGTGGGTAAAAGGAGAAATTCAGTGATTGATTTCACTAAAGACTGTGTTAAGATAGTGCTGGAAGAAGCAGAATGTCTGCTAAATGAACCAGAGTCTCTCGCATCTGCTGGAGAATCAGAGCGACTGGAGATTTTTAATGTGGCGTATCAATGGGCCATCAGCTCACACCTGCTATCTCAGTCTCCAGTCGTACACGAGTCTCATGAGTAAAGCTCAAAGATCTCACGCCTGTCTGAGAACAAGCAAAGGGCCAAAATTGTGGATATGTAGTATATGGTCATAATGTTTCGACAATACGCAAATTTCACTCCCTTTTTCGTCTGATTATAAACACTGTGATCCTGTGTGCCAAATTAAAAGTCTTGCAGTTTAAATGCAAACAAATGGATCTAATGTCTGCCAATCCGTCTGTATATCTACTATATATCAAATATTACAGCAAGACTGAATCCAACAACAGCAGGTTAGCACAACCAACCTCTCTTAGATCAAATTACTTCTGATGCATTGCAACATGATCGGCCCGTCTTCCTGAATGTGACGTCCGGCAGAACATTTATGAAGGAAAAGAGCTGCTAAAATCAGTATATGGCATCAGACTGATGGACCATTAGTGCAATTGCACAACAATTTAAGTCCCTGATTGTGTCATCGAATGCAAGGCTTTGTTTGTTTCGTCAGATGGTTCTTGGGTTGATCAACTAAACAGCTGTGATTGAACCATTATGCTTGAAACCTTCTTGAAAATGCAGCCGGCTTCATCCTGCTCCTGCAAATAAAATATCAGGATGACGAATGTTCACAAACACACTTGAGTTGGGATTGTTGGTGTTTAGATTTGAATTGTATTTGATGTAGAAACATGATTTAACTTGAATTCCAAAGTTAGGATGTCAAATTTATTCATATAAATGTAATTTTTGCCACAAAAGCAAAGTTTGTCAAGCAAGCCTCAAGATAATCCTTGAATGACAGCCTGACAAAAACTTGAAAACCTTGTTTTAATAAAATGTTTTTAAAAAGCCTGAAGGATTGATACAAAGATAGAATAAAAGACAGAACAATAGAACGATAGATGGCAGAATGA